GGGAGCCACTTACTTGAGGTGGTCGAGCATCATGCAGCTGGCCAGCAGTGTGGCCGTGGGGTTAGCGATGTTCCTGTTGGCGATGCTCTTGCCTGTGTTCCTTGTCGCCTGCAAAGGCAGGGTGCGGGGGGTGGGTGATGAACGGAGACAGAAAGCAGGGGCCCAGGAGTGGGAACAGGGAGACTGCTACAGGGTCCGGGGTTTCTCTTGGGAAGATGAAAGCACCTGGGGTTGGACAGTGCCCCTGGCCGCGCGGCCTGTGGAGGGCCCCGGCACCACTGTTGCCACTCACCGTCTCAAACACAGCGTACACGTGGCCGTAGTTGGCTCCAGCCACAAGGCCTGGGCCCCCAACCAGCCCTGCGCAGACGTTGTTGACAATGTTGCCGTAGAGATTGGGCATCACCATGACATCAAACTGCTGCGGCCGGGACACCAGCTGGGGACCAAGGAGCAGCTGAGGGGCCAACTCAGGGACATGGGTGATACGAGCCTGGGCACCCAGGGTAGGGGGCTGTGGGGCCCAGGGGGCTGGCTACCTGCATGGTGGTGTTGTCCACAATCATGTTCTCGAAGGTGATCTGGGGGTAGCGAGCTGCCACCTCCTTGCAACACTGGAGGAAGAGCCCATCACCCAGTTTCCTGGGGGCGGAGAGAGGACGCTATCAGCCAGAGGACGAGGCGTGCAGAGGGCCAGGGGTGGCTGGGGCCTAGCGTCTAACGTGTCCTCTAGTAACAGCGGTGTCCCTGGGTGTGGCCCCCAGCGGGTGGCCAGGGTGCGGGGCCCTAAGCTCTGACAGGCGGAGGGCACGTACATGATGTTGGCCTTGTGCACAGCCGTCACTTTCTTGCGGCCGCTCTCCTGAGCCAGTCTGAAGGCGTACTCGGCGATGCGCAGGGACTTGGCCTTGGTGATGATCTTCAGGCTCTCCACCACTCCTGCCACGCTCTGAGAAGGGGCCAGGCCGGCCGAGTGCACGGTGGGCCAGGCACGTGGCGGGAAGCAGCCCACCTGAGTGTTCCTAGGCCCTGCCCTCCGAGGGCCGTCCTCTTCCTCCCGGCACTGGCCCTGCCAGGCACATCCTAGCCCCCACGGCCCGAGCGGGCCCTCCAGGCCCCACCCACCTCATGCTCCAGGCTGCTGTACTCGCCCTCCGTGTTTTCCCGGACAATGAGGATGTCTATGTCCTTGTGCCGGGTCACCACTCCCGGCAGGCTCTTACAGTGGATGACGTTGGCATAGAGGTCCAGGCTGGTGCTAGCAGGGGCACAGAGAGAGAGGCAGGCTGGCCTGTCTGGCAGCCGGCCAGGCCAGATTCCGCTTGTAACCCCCCCGGACACCCACCAGGCCGCCAGCCCAGGCCCTGCACTCTCACCGGAGGATGTTGTTTCGGGATTTATGGGATGGTGGCAAGTTATGGTTTGTTTCGATGTTGCCTGCAGGGCAAAATCAAGACAGCAGGCTGGAGGGAGGCCCCCTTTCCCAGCCCCAGGAGCACGTACCGAGGTGGCAGAACGCTGCCTGGAGTGCTCAGTGCCACTTCCAGGAGAAGTCTCCCACAGCACATGGCCACTACGTGGACAAATCCACGAACGAGTGGAGCACGGCCAGGGGCTGCCTCGACAGGGAGTGACTGTTCCTGCCTAACAGACTGGCCAGCCGGGCTGCCTCCAGCAAGGTGACCTTGGCCAAGGTTACTGCCAAGCCCTGCATCAAGGCATCACACATGCCCCAGCCAGGGGGCAGGCAGAGCCCAGCAAGGCCAGGGCAGCAGGAGACGCTGGGAGAAAGAGGTCAGACGGTGCCAGGCAGCACACCAGGGCTGCCTCCCCTCTGAGCTGCACCCTGCCCACCTTGTCCTACCCAGGGTGCCTGAGGGCACCCCATGGCTGGCATGTAGGCCCCTCCACTGCCAAGGCCCAGGACCCCACCTGGTTTGGTCTTGGCTTACATATTCCCCAGGCAGAGTGGGTGACGAGCTGAAGTTGGCTTGGGAGGGAAGGCCAGAATCCCCCCCCAGCCCATCCACAGCTGGGCCAGCTCAAGCCCAGGCTGCAGCGGGGGCCGAGCTGCATCCCTGGGACACCTGGTTTGTGCTGACCCAAGCGGAGAAGGCTGCCGCAGGAGGGAGCCTGGCAGTGGACAGGCCCCCACACACCCTCTAGCCCCTGAGGCCTCAGAATAATGTGGACTGGCCTACAGGGCCTCTGCCTATCGCCAAGCACAGAGTGCTCTCTAGCCAGAAAAGCCCCGCCAGCATCGGTGCAGGGATGAAAGGAATCATGTACGTGCCCTGGCCTGGCCCCAAGCTCACCCTTCAGGGCCACGCGGTTGCGGCGGATGGCCATGATGGCATTGCGGATGTCCTCTTCGTCGGCATTGGAGCTCACATGAACCTCTTCAAAGTCCACCGGCACACACGCATGCCTGGGGCAGAGCCAGGTCAACGGGCTGGTCCAGGGTCTTCCCGGTGCCACCCTCCCAAGCCCAGGCCAGCCTGGGGGCCCAGAAGCCCACCCTTACAGGCCTTCCTGCCACTGCTCTGCTGGGTGCTCTGCCCAAAGCCCTGGCTGGTGGGCTTCTGAGCTCACATGCTCTTGGCACAAAGGTAAGGCGAGGAGAGGTGAGCCTGCATTCCATACCTGAACACAGACTTGACGTGCAGCATGAGCTCAGGCCCGATGCCGTCCCCTGGGATCATGGTCACCGTGTGCCGCCCGCCATACTTAGCCGAGGAAAGGATATGGGTGAAGGCAGGCCTCTGGGTGCCCCCACGTTCAGCACCCAGGGGCTCGAGTCAGTTTCCTTCTTCCTGCCAGGGCTGCATATCTGGGGCTCCCCAGCCAGCAGCAGCCCCACCCCCACTACACCACTAAGAGCCCCCCAAATGTGGCAGGCAGAAGAGAAGAATACTCACAATTGCTTGTTGCTAGTAGGGGAGCAGAAAGAAGACACGGTCAGCCAAGGTGGAGAACTAGGCTGTGACGGGAGCGCCGTCGGACACAGTTCGGGGGCTGCCCTCAGGTGACCGTGTGGTGGAGGAAGGACACGGGGGCCAGGGAGCAGAGGGACGGGTGCCTGCACATGCACACCTCTCACAGGCGTACAGACGTATGTGCACACACACAGCACACAGGCAGGCACTTACTGGGCAAAGTCACACGTGCATGCATGTGCACATGCAAACACAGGTGTATACACGTGTGCGTGCACACATGCACAAGCACACACACATACCACACAGGCAAGTACCGAGCAAAGAAAAGGCACAGGGATGTGTGTGGACACACATGTACAAACATGCATGCAGGCCCCTTGCACGCAGGTGCAGACATAAGCACACACACGTGTACGAGCACACACACAGACCACACGGGCAGGTACTTACTGAGGAGATGCTCCTCCACGGGGCCTCATGGGCACCTAGAACCTGGCAAAGAGCAGCCCGGAAGATGGCGTTAGCAAGGGCAGCCGAACTTTGGGAAGGAAGAGGGTCTGTCTGCCCTGCGCCTAGACAGGTCCCACCTGGTGAACAGCAGCACACACACCTCGTGCCCAGGTGCCTCCCAAGCCTCGTCTCCCACGGATCGGCCTTCTTCAGCTTACGCCCCATTTTGAAAACTTGTGTTCCCCTCATTTACTACTATCTCCTTTCCGGCTCCTGACTCAGTTGTTCCTGCTCAGTGATGTTTATAACACAAAAAACTGGCAAACTTGGGCAGCCCCATAGTGCAGTGGTAAAGCACTGTGCGTTGGGAACAGGATCCCAGGAAGTTGAAGGCAGTTTGAATCTCAGTCCTGACAGCTTGAAAACACACACCAGGTGTGTGTACGTGCCCCAAATCCTGACGAGAGGAACGATGGAAGAAAAAGGGCTGCGGCATGACCGTGCCCCACTGCAGGGGTGATTTTTCACTTTTTGTCTCTTTGTCTCTCTGGCGAGTGCACATGCCCCACAGCAAAAATCTCTCTTGGAAAAAAATTTTAAAAAGAGGGGCCAGTTGGGACCAGCAGTTAGTGTAATGGCTATGTCACTGCACTCCCATGTAGTCGACTGCAGTTCGAGTCCCAGACCCGGAGACTTAAACTCACGCCAGGCGCGTGTGCATGCGTGCCCAAGATCCTGAGAGGAGAATGGAGGAGAAGGGATTGCGGCATGGCCATCCCCCCTTGGGGGGTGATTTCTCGCTTTCTGTCTCTCTGTCTCTCTCTGTCTGTCTGGCAAGCACACGTGCCCTATAGCAAAAACCTCTCCAAAAAAAAAAAAATTAAATTAATAAAAAAAATGAAAAAGAGGGGCCAGCAGGTGGCGTGGTGGTTCTGACGCTGGACTCCCATATGGCCAACCATGGTTCAAGCGGGGCTTTCTTTCTTACTTACTCTCTCTCTCTCTCTGGTCAAATTAAATAAATTAATTAATTAATTAAAGAAAAAGAAAGGATGCCAGCAGGTGGCATGGTGGTTAGGCCCCTGGACTTCTACTCGACTGACAAAGGTTCAAGTCTCTAACCTGGCGGCCTGAAAATCACGCTGGATATCACATCAGGCTCATGTGCATACGTGCCCAAAATCCAAAATCCAAGAGGAGAATGGAAAAGAAAAGATTGTAGCATGGCCACCGGGGAGGAGAGGATTCCCTTGCCTTTCCTCTCTATCTCTGTGTTCTCCTAGCACATGTGCCCTGTGACAAAAAACCTTAATAATTAAAAAAAAAAAAAAAAAAAAAAAGGAAAAGAATAGAAATCAAGAGGCCAGCAGCTGAATGGAGGCTACGGTGCTGATCCCCACATGGCTGACTGTGATTGCAGTCCTGGACCTGGTGGCCTGAAAATCACGCTGGGCGCATGTGCATGCATGCCCAAATCTTGAGAGCAGACTAGAGGAGCAGGGACCCCCCTAGAGGGCTCATTTCTCACTACCCCCATATCTGTCTGTCTCTCTCTCTCTCTCCAGTGAGCACACATGCTCTATGGGAAAAACCTTAAAAAATTCAGGGTCAGCAAGTGGAGTGGTGGTTAAGACATTGGCCTCCTACATGGCCAACTACAGTTCAAGTCTCAGGCATGGTAGCTGACTTTCTCTCTCTCTATGTCTCTCTCTGGTCAAGCTGAATAGTAATAATAATCAAATAAAACAAATAACTTTTTAAAACAAAACCAAAATAGGAGACTACAAACAAACAAAAACCAAGAATAATTGTCAAACTACATACAGTACAATAGGAAACCACTACAAACAGCCAGCGTCCCTGATGCCAACAGTTTAGTCCCTTTTGTAGCCTCTCCTTACTATAAAAGCACTACAGGAAAAACGGAATAGAAACACGAGAAGAAAGCACCAGCCTCCAGACCTTCACAAGACCTATACTGGCGGCCCCTGACAGTACCCTTCAGAGTTAAAAATTAAAGGCAGGGGCCAGCAGGTGGCATAGTGGCAAAGGCAGTGGACTCCCATATCGTTGATCACAGTTCAAGTCCTGGACCCAGTGGCTTTTAACATA